ATCGTCGGTGGAATCCGAGTATAGGGGAATGGATGTAACAGTAGCTGAGTTAGTGTGATTAATAAGATTGATAAGTGAACTAGAAATTAAACATAATGGTCCAACAATGATGTTATGTAATAGTAAAACATCATTACAGATTGCAACTAATTCAGTTTATTATGACTGCACGAAACATATAAAGATAAATTATCATCTTACACGAGAAAGATTCAAAGGGGATTATTAAAGACATGTCATGTCTCAACAAATGATCGAACCAAAGGCCTCAGACTTAATTAGCATAAATACTTGTTATCCAAGTTAGGCATAAAAGATGTATATCACCCTCCAACTTGAGGCAAGTGTTGAGAAGTAATTAATTAGTTAACTTGTTAGGTTAGTTACCAGTAGTTATATAAATAGGGAAAATTGAGATTCATTGTAATCTATCATTTTGCAGCATAATAAATTACTTTTTCATTGTTAAATATTTTTTGTTTTTCCCAAAATTATCTGTTGTATCCTCTACAGTTATTCTAATTCTCCATTATATCCTCTACGGTTATTCTAATAAGTGGTGGAGCTACCGATTGGTGAGGGTGGGCATGTGCTCATCTTGAAGTCCGAATTTTCTTCGATTAGTTATTTTATTTTATTGATGGTACTCAATCTGAAATTATACGTGCCTACCCTAAAATTTTATTTGTAATCATCTTATTTAAAAATTTTATGTTCTTAATATATATGTGTCTACCCTAAAAAAATATTTTTAGATCTACCACGGATTTTAATTCTCCATTATATCCTCTACAATCACTCTAATATAATGTCATATCCTACTGAATTATAAATTCTATAAAAATGTTTCATCAATAAATAATAATTCAACGAAAATCAAATCAATTTGAAATCAGCCTATAAAAATATTTCATCGATAAATAATAATTCAACGAAAATCAAATCAATTTGAAATCAGCAATAGGATACTTGGATAATCTTATTTATTATGACGATCATTAGCAATCAACTAAAGAGCCACCTCGAAGTGCAGTGCAGTTTCATATGTCCATTTCACATCTGAAAACTTAGTTTCAGGTCCTACGGACATTGGCAACTGGGGAAGCTTCCTTGGCCACGTAAAATGTCACACGCAAACAGCCAATAACCTAAAAAAACCATAATTTAAAAAAAATCACATTTTCAAAAAGTAAAAAAATAAAATAAAAAAGTATACAGTACATTTTTGTTATGTTATATAAATGTGAATAAACAACAAAGGAATATTGTGTTGAAAATTTGAATTTTAGGTCTGATTATAATTTGAAAACAATGATAAATGAAATTCAAATCCTACTTTTGCAAGCGAAGGAAGCTTCTTCTTTAAAGGGGACAATAGTAATATTATTGTCGAGTTTCTTTACGGTGTAATTCTGCCCTAAATTCCATAGGTGCAGACCTATCAAATATCTGTGTCACATTTCATAAAGGGGTTTATTTGGTAGATTCTCTAAATATTTAAATTATTGTGTCTTTTTATTTTTCTTTTTAGGGAGTATATGAGTTGGTGAAATTGATAAAGAAAAGTTGTGTTTTTAAAATAGGTAAGGACATCAAAAGTTTGAATTTTGAGATGTATTTTCTTATCAAGTAAATGAGAATTTGGAAGAAGAAAAAATATTTCGAGAAACTAAATATGCATTTTCAGAACCTAGGATTCTTGTTCTCTTAAGTTTGAACTTCATCGAAGATAAATTTACGCATGCATGAGTTTCGTCCCACTCTCTTCTTGGTTAATGTTTATTTTTTTTTTAAATTAAGTCAAATTCTATTTATGGTTGATTATGGGTAAGGTTTGGTTTTTTCTCACTCAAACTCTACCCAAAAAATAAATCTCTATATGTACTTAATTCGACCCAGGTTTAAGAGGTTTCACCTATCCCAATTTAAGTGAAAATTTGACCTGATTTAGTATGTACGTACGTACGTACGTGTGCGCGTGCGCGTGCGCGTGTGCGTGTGTGTATGTGTGCGTGTGCGTGTGCGTGTGTGTGTGCGTGTGTGTGTGTATGTGTGTGTGCATGTATGTAAGTGTGTGCGCACGTGCGTGCGTTAAATGATATTATTACAATTATCTCTAAATATATAAAGAATAATTATAATATTATATCAAGTTGGAGTTTTTTTTACCCTAGCCTCAATCTATCTGATTTTACACCATCTTTAAAATAAAAATAAAAAAACTTGATATGGCTTGAACTATTTTTTTTATAAAAGAATGATATGATCATATTGAATTGTATCAAAATATGTCGAATTCATATAAAATATTCATCTTTAATTCTAACATATCGGTCCTAAACCAAATGGATGATATAATATTTAGTTCTAATAATTTATAAATTCATTTTTTTCTGGACATTGACTTGTAATATGTAATTCGGATTATAGTTCTTAAATGTCTTAATTTAGCTTGTATTTCTCTTTGTATTTGGGGAACAAGATGAAAAAGCTAAACAAAAAGTTCGTTTCTGAAAACACTTAGGACAACATTAGTTCCCCTTTATATTTGATTTTTGTGTAATTGTAATTTGTAAGCTCCATAAATGTCAACCAGATGTATGTTGTAACGGGATTGCATACATCCGTTATATAGTTCAACAAATACCATATCAATCCATTATACAAATATATTTATGATACAAAAATATATGAAATTAACATATAATAATACACGTGCAAATAAACGATATTTATGATGGTTTAGTACGCACACTTTCACGAGTGAAAAATTAATAAATTATTATAAACGTAGAGACAACAAATAATAAAATATATGAAATTATATTATATTTTAAAATGATACATGTCTCAAAATTCAATGTATGTAAAACGCTCTCTTGATATCTTATAAAATTTGTCTCTACAATATAAGTTTTAAAAGTTGTAAATAACATAAAAAGAGGGAATATTTAATAATGAAATATTCTTAACATTTGATTTAATAATAATTTTAACTCTTACTTTTTTTTAAGAGTACTTTGATCCTCAATGTTTCATTTTAGTGTAAAATGACCCCAATTGGTTGTTAATTAACTAACTATCAATTTTTTTTATTGGTGTGGCAAGTCATATGTTTTCAAAGTGAGTATAACACATGTCACATGTACATAAGCAAAGATATGATGTATGTCACGTGTTCAAATTGATCACATTACACACGCCACATGTACATATAATATATGATATGAAACATGCTATATATGAAAAATATTGATCATTAGTCAAATAACAACTTTTATCCAATATGGGATAAAATAAAATATTTGAGGTTAAAGTGCTCCAAAGAAAAAAAAGAACTAAAATGATTATTTTATCAAATAATAAGGAATTGTTGTTATTCCTTTATGACTCGGGTTCGAACACTATAGATAATAAGAGTGTGAACAATCTATGTTGAAAAGTTGATATTTATCTTTAAACAAATATTAGTATATACTCACTCTAGATTATTAAAAAAAAAAGAAAAGAAATACACCCTCTAAAAAAATCTCATATAACTACAAAAGTTAAAAAAATAATGAAAATAATAGTATCTTTCTAAAAAGGAATTTATCTTAAAATTTTAAAGATTAGAATTAAAAAACTGAATTGTTGGGAAAATAAGTAGCTTGGAGGGAAATTGAATAAATATGAAAGAGGAAAGAAAGGGACGTAGTGGTGGACAAATGAAGCGATGGGCGTCATCTCGTGTCTTTTGTAAGTATGTGGCTTTTTCTCCTTACTGACACTCTCTTTTGAATGTGTGTGTCCCACCTTTGCGCACTCACCTCTCACGGGCGGCACCTCCCCTTCCCTCTTTTCTTTTCTTTACTCAAGTAAATCTTTTGAGCGTTTGCTGCTTCAATTATAGCCTAATCATTCTTACCTCTTCAATCCAACTGGTAGGATGTAAAGCCAACTTACTTTCTCTCCTTTCATTTTTTTTTATCTTTTCATAATAAGTGGCTGAGCATACGGAAATTCAATTTTTCTTTGAATAATTATTTAATTTATTAATAATATCTATTTTGAATTTTTTATACGCATTCTAATATTTTATTTTTCTTCAATTAGTTATATATTTTATAGATGATATTTATCTTAAAATTTTTATGTTGTTAATATATAAGTGTCTACTCTAAAAATATATTTCTAGATCAACCATATTTCAAAATTGTATATATTATTTCATAATAGTTTACAAGGTCAGAAAAATGAATACACAAGACACTAAATAATAATAATATAATATGGTTAATATGTATATTATATAATTATTTTTTGTAAAATTAAAAAAGAGGAACGTGACATAATTTGTTAATAAATGAACCATATACTTGTTTGAATTTATCATCACTTACAATCCGTTGTCTTCCTCCTATTCATTACTCTCCGTCTGACACATACAGGATCACTCACATTTAGCAACTTAAAACAATTGCAAATAATATTATAGTTGGTAATGTGTGATTAGCGATGTATTTTTTTATGTAATAAATGAGTTTATAAATTTTCAATTATTATTTAAAATCATAAATAAATATATAAGACATATTGCAGTTATTTTTTATTTTAATTATTTGTAAAGGATCTATTGATCGATTAATCTAAATCAAGTATTACATATGCCAATTGTAAAAACGGTCCTCCCAATCTAATTTACTCTGTTAACAATACTAGAACTCAAAATCTCTAATTTTCTTTTTAAAAAATAGCATCTCATTCCACTAGATCAATTGATTTTTACATGTGCCGGTCGATTTCTAATCCTTTTATGAAGTAAAAACCTTTTTTTAATAGTCTTAAGGTGTTTACAAAGTGCATACAGGTACATATATTACTACTTAAACTTAAGATCTATAGGGAGAATAATATTTTCTATATTATACAAGGCCATTTCTGTTTTTGAAGTAAAAATCTTAACCATGATTCTATTAAATAAGAATCCCAATATTATATATAAAGGTGGTCCTGCTGGGTCTATGGCTGAGTGACTTGGAGAGAGCCCCATTAAGATAAGTAGAGAAGAAAAAAGAGGAAGAAAATATTCTCTCCAGCTACTTCCTTTTTGGTATTTTCTTTGGGTTAATTTTAAGCCAAATCTGAACAACCAAACCCCATATATAACGGTTTTTTTTCTCATTCAGTTACAGAACGTTCAAAAAAACAATCTTTCTCTTCTTTTCACAACTGTTTCTCTAAAGAGATAGATCTGTTGAGTTGTGTTTTACTTTACAAAGCTTGTTTTTTAGTATAAATAAATCTTGAATTTTGAAGTTTCAGTTGTTAAATTTTCAGAAATGATGTCTCAAGATGGGGCTTCAATTCCATCGACTATCAAAGGGTTAGCTTCACAACAACCAAGCCCTAACCCTAATCCAGTGAAGAAGAAGAGAAATTTTCCAGGAACACCAGGCAAGTTTATTTGATATAAATTATAATCTCATTATTTTTGCATTTTACAAGTGTTTTGATGGGTGTATGTTGTCCAAATTAAGCAGATCCAGATGCAGAAATTATCGCTATGTCACCGAAATCTCTCATGGCGACCAACAGATTCATGTGTGAAATCTGCAACAAGGGTTTTCAAAGGGACCAGAACTTACAACTCCACAGGAGAGGCCACAACCTGCCATGGAAGCTGAAGCAAAGAAGCAACAAAGAAGTTAGAAAAAAAGTTTACATCTGCCCCGAAAAGACGTGCGTTCACCACGACCCGTCGAGAGCTCTCGGAGACCTCACCGGAATCAAGAAGCACTTCAGCCGTAAACACGGCGAGAAGAAATGGAAGTGTGAGAAATGTTCGAAGAAATACGCGGTTCAGTCGGATTGGAAAGCTCATAGCAAGATTTGTGGCACTCGAGAGTATAGATGCGACTGTGGAACTCTCTTTTCCAGGTATCTCTCAAATGAAACACACGGCACACGCATATATAGTTTATGTTTGTTGAGGAATTAAATGCTTAAATCCATGAATTTAATGAGGTCTTCCTGCAGGAAGGATAGCTTCATCACACATAGAGCTTTTTGTGATGCTTTAGCTGAAGAAAGCACGAGATTCAGTTCGGTTCCATCGACTGTGAATAATCCAGTAGCAGCTTTTACAAATGATTTTATAAATAGAGCCAATAATAACAACGTGATGCACCAGTTTTCATCGGTGTTTAAACCAGAGTTTGGTGGTGGGTTAGAGCTAGTCGACAACGTGAACCCGAATGTGCAAAAGCCGCAGCCGAGATTACAGTCATGGCTCGACCAGGCTAACCCATTCGGTGTCCCCTACAACGCTTTCTTAGCACCAAAATCCACGAGCTTACCTGACTTGGGAATGGCACCAATGAACATGTTTGCCTTATTGTCGCAGACACAAACACAATGGCAAAGCAGCAAGTACCCAGATGATGATGCATCATCATTTCCAGGTGCCAACCTCAACATATCGGAATTGAGACCGAAACAAGAAGAGAACAAGGGAGATTTCTCTGAATCCATACCATCTTTGTATTCCAACAATAATCTTCAACAAAACGAGGCTCATGTAACTAACATGTCAGCCACTGCACTGTTGCAGAAAGCAGCACAAATGGGATCTACAAGAAGCAACCCGACAGCATTCAACAACACTGGCTTTGGGTTAATGAGTTCATTGTCTGAATCTGAGAACATAAACAAATTAGTGAGTTCATTGTCTTCGACTCAAGCAGCTGTTACCAACTCGAACGAAGTTGAATCGAGCTTAACCAGGGATTTTCTCGGCATGGGAGATGAGTCGAATAGGTCATCGTTCCAACAACAAGAGCTTGTTAAGTTTGCTTCAATGGGTTCAATCCAGCCATGGAACTGATGATTCAAACAGCAGCGACAGTGAGTTATCGAGCTGGAAGGGGAGTGGTGGTGGTGGGGGGCCATCGGACGGCGGTGGTGGAAGGGACTGAAGAGAAAGAGACATGGCAGTGTTGTTGGGCCCTGCATGCACGTAGATTTTTAACCATTTTAATTCTGATACAGTTCTGTATTTTTAGTTTTCATTTTTATATTTCTCTTTCAAACTTTCATTAATTTGCATTGTCTTTTTATCCCCACTACTGTGACGGCTATGACAAATTTCCTAGCTGGACTCCAAATAATATCAAACAAATATGCTTTTTATCTAATATTCCGGTGTTTAGCACTAACTTATTTAATTTAGTGATTAAAAGAATCGTTGTTATTTCTGGAGGTCAAGAGTTCGAGTATCAATAGCTGTAATAGGGCGATTGAACATTCATTATTAAATAATTGAGAGTATTTAGAATATATATTATTTTATAATCATCTTAGCTCAATCAAACAATATTATGGTATTTAGGCACCAATCAAATTAATTTAGTAATTAAAAAATTTATTGTTATATTTTAAGTTTTTAAATTTGAGCACTGCACATGTAAAAAATATAAATATTTATTATTAAACGATTAAAAGTCTTTAATAGATATTATCTCAGATTCACCCTATATATATATATATATATATATATATATATATATATATATATATATATATATATATATATATAGAGTGATGTTTAGAGTTTGAAGTTATCCTTGTGTAATTTTTAAACTTAAATTTATATATATTAAATAAAGTATACCTTATTATTGTGTTGAACACATATAAATTACCCATGTTTCTAAGGCTCTATTGATTTACATTTCCTCCACTCCAAATGCTAAACCCAATCAAGACCCACTTTTACTTCATTCAAAAATATTTTATTTCCTCTTTAAATATGATAGATTTATAAACGAGTTTAATATAATATTAAATAATTAAAATTAATTTTTGTAAAAAATTGTAAATGGTCTCGAATTAAAAATTGAAACGATTATTCTCAAATAAAAATATGATAGACAATTTTTTTTGTGAAGTATAAAACAGACAAATTTAAGTACCACACATCATAACATAAATATATGTTCATTAGAAAAGGAGCTTGTTACAAGACACAAATTCAAATTCAAAGTCATAGTACCTTGTAGTGGATGTTCAAGATATATGACTAATGATAAAAATTGTTTCATGAAATTATATCAAAGATGACAAAACTTTAGATGATTCATCCAAAAGAATAATCACTAAATATTATCTTAAAAATACTTGTAATTATGTTATATTTATCTCATACATAAAGTCTAAAAATATTGAAAGAGCATTGATGATGTTTATTGGATAATGATTATACAAGTTGAATTAAATCAATTTAATAAAAATTCAAATTTATACATCTATTTAGAAACAATTTATAAGTCTATTATAGCTATTAAATTATTTATTAGGAAAAATTAGACGATAGTGGTTATTTTACTAGACTTATAGCTCAAGGTTACACTCAAGAAAATGAAAGAATTTTGATGAAACATGTTCTCTCATAGTTAGAATAGAAGTTATTAGAATGATACTTTATTTTTGTATGTTATAATAATTTTAAGATTTATCAAATAGATGTCAAATGTGCATTCTAAATAATTTTATAACTGAAGATGTTTATATTAAACAACCTTTCGATTTTAAAAATCTAATATTTAAAAAAAAAATCACATTTTTAAACATTTAAAAGTTTTATATAGTTTGAAGTAAATCCATGGAACTTGGTATGAAAGACTATCAAATTTCTAGTTGAAAAAGATTTTTTTAAAGAAAAGGTTGATATAACTTTTTTTATTAAAAGAAAAAAGAAAAATAAATAATAGTAGTAAAATTTATGTTAATGATATTATATTTGGTAATACGAATGATTTTCTTCGTTAAAAAATTTATAGGTTAATTTAAGGTGAATTTGAAATATTCACGATGAAGAAAATCTTATTATTTTGGGACTCCAAATAAAAAAAAAAGGAAGGGTGACATCTTTATTAATTATTATTTTTATTAATCTAGGGTAAGTACAATGCAATATCTATTCAAAAATAATTTTTATCCACTTGACATTGAACGCTCACACCCCAAACATTCTTATTGGTCAAACTCGGGACCTCAAGGAATAAAAATAATTTTTTTACAACTAAGGTCGCTTAGTTCGTTTGACATCTTTATTAATTAAGTCAAATATACAAGGGACATGATAATTTTTTTTTAGATTGGATGATGTCAAATATCAAACCATGCCAATGAGCACTTCTCTTATGTTTAAAAAGATGTTGGAGGTACATATTTAATATTTTATTCTATGCTTGATTACAATCATGTCATAAGGAATCATATTTGCAAGTCATTAAGAAAATTTTTAGATATGTTAGAAACATTCCTAGTTAGGCCTTTATTATTCTAGAGAATATCACTTTAATTTTTATACCTTATTGGATATGAATTGTAGAGGATGTTTTCATGGTGTTTTTTTATGTATTTGTACATATAAACTTGTATATAGTGACGTTTTTGGGAAAACACCGCTAGATACACATACTTTAGTGGCGTTTGTTACACTAACACAACTATAAATTGATATTCAATTTCATTTTTGGGCAAATGCCGCTATAGATGCATAATTTGTGGTGTTTGTATAACTAAAGTCGCTATAGAATAATGTACAATGACATTTTTAAGAAAACGTTGCAGTTGTAGTTGTGTTGTACTGTAGTGACGTTTTTAAGAATAAACGTCACCAATTGTTTAGTCATTTATCACAATTTATCTGTTAAATTAAAATATCTTTGTAATCTCCATTTCCTTCATCCTCTTCAGTATAGAAGCTTCATCAAATCATGCTCCTCTCTCTTATTTTTATTTTAACCTAATTAAATGATTATTTATTTTCTCATTCGGCATAGCTTGTTGAAAAACAAAGAAGAAGAGGAAGTAACAATTCTCCAATTAAGAGTTCCATAAACACAAGCATGCTAAAGACATGGTATAAAGTAGTAGGTACATGTATGATCTCGACCAAATGCTTCCTACTTAGAGTTTTACTGTTCTATAACTAAAATAGGAGTCTCACGCTTCTATTAATCCTATGCTAAGGGCCTCACCATGAATACATGATCGCGTGTATAAGTGTTTGCTGTGGCACACAAATTTGTACAAGTATACAATGTCGATGCAAATATTATAGTAGTAAGTGAGTTATCGTCTCCACAGGGATTGGTGGGAAGTTTTGATGATTGCTATAACTAGAACTAGATGTCACTAACTAGTCCTAAGATTCTTGTCTAATGATATTAGCAAAAGAAAAACGAGTAGTATCAAATGATATGAACAGATGAAAAAGTATTGTCGGGGCAAGAAAATTTGTAAAGTGAAGTGAGAAGAAAAGTTTGGTCGAGCCAATAAAAATATGCAAAGTTAAACAAATAAAAGTTGTCAAGGAAAATAAAAATGTTTGAGTTCAATATATTCTCAAAAACCTGAAACAACCAGACTTCTAACGGAGCACTTGGGTTGGATTTGCTATGGCGAGAAATTATTCTATGTCTAGGATGATTTAGTATGATATGCCTATATTGCCCGACATGATTTACTAGAGTGTTCCTAGAACTATTGCTACGACAATACTACCCAACGTGAACTACAACCATTGGTTTGTCAAACTGTTACTACGGCAATACCCCTCAGCATAAACTATAGCTCTAACCTATCTACTCAAGCATTTATCCTTCTTAGTCCAATAAAACCATCTCATTATCTCTAAGGTGGATTAGAACCTCACCATCCCTGATTAATCCCCTTGTTCACGTGGATCTAACCTAACTCTTTCGAATATTAGGTGTCAATTCCTAGAAAAATGACAATCTCTCAAAAGCTCTTACAAAGACTAGGAATGTTTTGCCGTGGCACCAGGCAATCTCTCAAAAGCTTTTACAGTGTCAAGTAAAAATATTAAAACAGTGAACAAAACAACATTCAACAAAAACATACTTATAATCATATAACATCAAATAACATATCATCCAAATATTTCCAACACCAAATAAAACAATTTATGGTAAGGTAAACATCATTCAAAAATAATCTTTAATTACAAGCCCTTAAATAATATGGAAATGAAGAACAAAAGGAAGAAAAAAAATCCCAAACAGAGCTCTGTCATGATATCAGACCACCACCATGACTGTTCCAGTGGCCAACCTCTCTCGAGGGCTTGACCGTTGTTCCGATGAAGCCTGGTTATGGAGGGCACCAAGGATGGTTGAGTGGGGAACGGTGGAAAAGGGATATGCTACAGTCGCATTTTTTCAAGCCTCATTTTTCGATATATTCTCTCTCTTCTCCTCATTTGTCTCATTAAATAAATTCTTCCTCAGTCATTTTCATCATCATCACAACCAATAAACAACCCTTCTTCTGAGCAGCATTAGTTTAGTCAAATAAACTTTGCCTCGGCAAAACTTATCCACATCATGCAAATATGTCCTAATTGCAACTATATGCAACTAAAATGCTATGTCAATGGCTTTTATACAATCAATTACTTAAGTAAAAGGACCTAAAATATAGTCTTTTTACGGAGTTATCAATACAACTCTAAAGGGTCTTTAACCCTAATAACTGTAACTGCTATGCATTATCTAAATGTGATACTAATACTTCTTTATATTATCTGAATGCAAACCTGACTAGTATCTGATCTCACATAGCCATCAAACACTAGTTAACTGAGGGAAATCAGTGTCACATAGCATCAGTACAATTCCCACCAAGATGTTGAATGATCTCATTGTCCTCATATAACCATCAGGTATATCATGGAGAGGGAACCCTATATCACACAACATCAGTATAATTCCCGCTCAACTGAAGCATTGACTCGAACTTATATAGCCTTCAAGCCAAGCTTTAAGATATCTGTTGTACTAGACTGATAAAACTATACATACATGTCTAAGACCCAGAAGCCACACAACGTTGACATCGCTAACACTTTCCTCGTAAGTGTTCGAGCCTCGCGCCCTAGTTAGCCTATGAAGTGCCTCATGCATTGACAATGCCCCACTAGGGCAACTAAGGTAACCTAGTTATACCCTAGCATAGCTGGACTCGCTAAAGTGAGGCCATCCTTTCACTAGATGTTATCTCGCTCATTTTCT